CAACAGTTCTGGGTGCAGGGTTCCCGGAATCTGCCAAGTGTGGAAGGGATCTTCCCCTGGCGATCCGAAAGATATTGCAAGACAGGCGCTACGCAGTGAGACGTCACGACGGTGATGTTTGCTGCCTTCCTGCGTGGCACAGGGTACAAAGCGAGAGAACACATAATATGCATTATGGAGGCCCAGGCGGGCGTCGTCCAAAACAAATCGAAAGTGGAAGGCGAACCGAACATACGTTACAGTAGTGATGAAACGTTGTGAAGGGCGCCATCCAACTTGTATTGCAACTTGTATCTGCCCAAGTTCAAAAATTGCGTGGGAAGCTGGAGGCAGCGCCACTGCTGGGGGGAGGAGCACACACCACCGAGAGGCTTTGTGGAGGGCGATCCGATTCCTTACTGCAATTTGAAACAACGTCAGAAGCAGCTGAAGGATGTCTGCGGTAGGTTGGGATGGACGCCGCTCGTTCACCGATCATGGCTTGCGAGAATTTCCCAGAAGCGCCGGACGGGCGCAATTCCGACAAGAAATAGACCTCAAGATGTGTCTGCAAGGGAGCTGACATGGGTACCCTTCCTCTTGAGTTCATGCAGTAAGCGCACAACAAATCAAAGATCTGCTACGGTTGGGCTGCACGTCACTCGAATTGATTTCAATTTGGGGCACGCGAAAATGGAAGAAGTCAACGGCGGTTTGGGATGCGAGCCGTTCGTAATGAGTTTTGGCCGATTGCAATTTGGGAGCAGAAGTATTGCTGCGGGAAGCATTCTCCAAAGACCGCAAGGCTTGTTCCATAATTATGCCTACGAGCCTCATGTAGAGAGCCAGGAGCACATCTTGTTGTCTGCCCCATGGTACTCCTGAATTCTATGCGCTTCACGTAACACCACCAGCCCATCCAGAAACGATGCCCAGACGAGTTGCCTTGGTCATGGATGTGGAGTAGAATGCAGTTGAAGAAAGGTCGTCGAATCCCAAGTGGAGGAGGAACCAGAGGAGGAGGAGGAGGAGGAGGAGGAGGAGGAGGAGGAGGAGGAGGAGGAGGAGGAGGAGGAGGAGGAGGAGGAGGAGGGACGAGGAGGGACGAGGAGGGACGAGGAGGGAGGAGGAACAGGCGGACGAGGAAGGGGAGGAGGAGGAGGAGGAGGAGGAGGAGGAGGAGGAGGAGGAGGAGCAGGAGGAGGAGGAGAAGAAGGAGGAGGAGGAGGACGAGGAGGGCGAGCAGAAAGACCAAAGGCCTCGTGGATGCCTTTCAGAGTCTCTCCGGATGTCATTCCAAAAGTTTCTTGGAGTCCTCTTAAGGCGTCTTCGGGATCTCTTGGCAGTCCCGGAGACCTCTTGGGGCGTCTGGAGGCCTCTGGGGGGCCTCTTGGAGCCTTTTGGGGGTCTCTTGGGAGCCTCTTGGGGACATCTTGGGGGCACCCTTGGGAGCCTCGGGGGCCATCTTGGGGCCATCTGGGGAGAGATCGATCAAAGGAGGGGAGCTCCTTACTTAGGGTCCCCCCTCCCAGGATGCCCCAAACCTTCGTAACATCAATGAATTTGGCCTTCTCGCCGATGCCTCTTGGGGCGTATTGGGTGCCTCTGGGGGGCCTCTTTGGGCCTCTTGGGGGCCTCTTGGAAGCCTCTTCGGGGCCTATTGGGGGACTCTTGGGGCATCCTCCTGGGCACCTCTTGGGGCACTCCTGGAAGCCTCGGGGGCCATCTTGGGGAAATCTTGGAGGAGGTCGATCAAAGGAGAGGGGCTGCCTAATCAGGGCTCCCTCGCAGGAGTCCAAAATGTGATCAGCTCAGGCTTCATGCCTCCCAGAGACCACCCACAGCTGCACACACACACACACACATACACACACACACACACACACGCTCATATGTATATAAAAAAAAACACACACAGACACACACACACACACTTTGGCGGTCGCGGCCTCACGCGCGGCGACGAGGCGAAGTAAGTCGAAAGCAGCGGGAGCGGGCACGCGCGGCCAGGCCCTCCACACACACACACAGACAGACAAGCCGTCTTGAGCGCACCACCAGCCGCACACATCGTGTCTGCCCCCAGCAACGTCACCCCCCGAGCGTAGGCCACGCCTCCACACATCACCTGTGGCCCCTGACATTGAATCCCCAGCACCCCCCCGACTCATGCGCAGCTGGCAGCTCCAGCGCCCCAGAGTGAGCGTTTTTCACACATGCTTTCCTCCAAGCGTCCCACCCCCCACGGGGGGAAGTGGCAGTCGCACCCCGCCTGGAAAAAACACTGGTCGGGACTCAGATGCCCGGCCAACCTCTGCCGACGCCGCCATCCCGCCAAGCAGGCGCCGGAGGCCACTCGGCCACTCGGCCCACACGTGCGCGCAGCCTAGCCACCGAAGACAAGCTACTAGCGCTGGGCGCGACGGACCAAGACAAGTGAAACGCAAAATGATGATGAGGAGGAGGAGAAGGAGGAGAAGGAGGAGGAGGAGGAGATGGAAGAGAAGGAGGGAGGCCTGCTCACGGCTCCTGAGACAGCCAGCGCGGCAGCGAAGGTACCCCGCACCCGGCCGCCAGCCATGTTGCTGGTAGCCACAGCGCTGGTCGGCGCCAGAATGCGCGACATCCCTCGCGACCAAATGGTGGATGTCGAAGTCGTGCTGCTGCACACCGTCCTGCCTGTCAACACGGTGCTGTTAGTACCCCACGCGCTGCTCTGCACCCTCGGACTGCTCACAGAAGTGCTGCTCGCAGCAGTGGCACGCCCACCTCCAAGATACCAGAATGGTGCGGTTGCCCCCGAGCTCAGTCGCGTTGCCCGGCGCCGTGCTGCCTAGCGACCGCTTGCCCACCGTCGCGCTGCTCGCAGCTCTGCACGTCCCAGTCATGGATGTTCGAGTAGCTCTACTGGTCCCCGATGTGTTGCCCGACATCGTGCTGTTCGACGCCGACGTGTTGCCCACAGCCGTGCCGCACCGCTCGCCACACTGCTCGCCCCACTCCGGGATATCGGAACCGTGCAGCTGCACCCGCTTGCGCTGCTGGGCGGTGCGCTGCCGGTCGCAGCTGGACTGCGCATAGACTTGCTGCGCGCCACAGAGCACGTGCACGGCTGCTCCCAGTGTGCTGATGGGCGTCGTGTTGCATGTGGCCGTCGTACAGCCCACAGGCGTGCTGCTCGCCCCACTGCACGACCCACTGGGCCTGGCCTGCGGGCGGCGTAAGGCGGGGCAGGGCCAGGGCCCGTTCAGCCCTCTGCAGGCAGCTCGTCCCAGGGGCCCACTGCAGCCGACGCCAGCCCCCTCCCCTGGGAGGGCAGGGGAGCTGGCGGCCAGGCGGGTGGAGTAGCCGCCGGGTGTGGCTGCGAGGATTGCTGGTGTAGGTGGCTGTCGCGCTGAACGTCGCCGACGTCCCGAAGGCTGGCCGAGTCAAAAGCCGGATGACGACGTGGTGCGTGACTCGTGGTGATTCCCGAGTGGTGGATACAGATGTTGCGCTCGGCTCCGGCGTGGCTCAGCGACGTTTCTGACGTTACTGCTCAGGCGGGCCGTCTGAGAAGTGGGCTCTGGCGGCGGCGCCAGCGTCGTCGCCATGCGCAGTGCTGGCGATGCTGCTGGCGCAGGCCCTGGCTATGCTGGCGGCGTCGTCGCAGGAAACGATGCTACCGCCGCTGCCAGCACAGGCGCCGTTGATGGTGGCGGTATAGTCATCGCTCACGGCGGGGACGGTCCTGCTGGCGTAGGCGCTGGCGGCGGGCCAGCGTAGTCGCAAAGACGGGCCTGGCGATGAAGCTGGCGTAGGCGGTGGCGGTTGTGCCGACGTGGTCCCCCCAGTGCTGGAGTCGCTGCTGGTGTAGGCACTGGCGGCTGTGCCAGCGTAGACGCCGTTCGCGGCGGTGGCGATGTTACTGGCGCCGTCGCTGACGGCGCGGCCGGCGTAATGGCAGGAATCGGTGCTGGCGATGAAGTTGGCGATGAAGCAGATGGAGGCACTGGCGCTGGTGCCAACGAGGTCGATGCGCATGGTACTGGCGACGCTGCTTCCGTAGACGCTGGCGACGGCGCCAGCGAGTCGCCGTTCACGACACTGGCGGTGCGGCTAGCGTAGGCGCTGGCTTTGTTGCTGGGGTCAATAGCTGCCAGAAGCGGTGCTGGAGCTGAAGCTGTAGGAGCTGGCGGTGGTGCCGAGGTGGTCGATATCCACTGTGCTGGCGGTACTGTTGGCGTAGGCGCTGGTGGTGCTGCTGGCGTGGTCGCCGATAGCGGAGCTCGCGATGAAGCTGACTTCAGCGCTAGCGGAAATGCCGGCGAGGTCGTTCCTGATGCGGGCGACGCTGCTGACGCAGGGCAGTTTCAGCGTAGTGGCATTCACGGCGCTGGTGGTGCTACTGGCGGAGGCGCTGACGGTGAGGCCGGCGTAGCCGCCAGGAACGGCGTTGGCGGCAAAGCTAGCGTAGACTCTGGCGAAGAAGGTGCCGATATGTGCGCTGCTCAGAGTGTTGGCGACGTTGCTAACGTATACGCTGGCGGTGGTGCCGACGTAACCGCCGTCCACGGGCCGATAGCGATGCTGCGGACACAGGCGCTGGCACTGAAGCTGTCATCGGCGTAAGATCGGGTCCTGGCGGTGATTCGTAGGCGCTGGCGGTGGTCCCGAAGTGGTCGCTGACAGTGCTGGCGACGCCGCTTGCGCAAGAACTGCCGGTGGTGCCGACGGATTCCTGCTCGCGGGGCTGCAGGTACAGGTTCTGGCGGTACGGTGCAATCGCAAGAAGAGGTGCAAGAGACGAAACTGCAGACGCTGGCGGTGATGCCGACCTGATCTGTACTCACAAAGCTGGCGTCGCCGTTCACGGTGCTGTCGGTGAAGCTGGGTTCGCCGCTGGCGTTGGTGCTGGCGTCGGGGCTGGCGTCGGTGCTGGCGTCGGTGCTGTTGTTGGCGCTGGCGGTGGTGCCGGCGCAGGCGGCGGCGTTGGTGCAGGCGTCGGTGCTGGCGTCGGTGCTGGTGAAGTCGCTGTCGTTGGTGCTTGTGGAGGCGCAGGCGGTGTTTTCGGCGTCGGTCATGGCGTCGGCGACTGCGTAGGCGTCAGCGTTTGTGCTGGCGTCGATGCTGGCGTCGGTGTTGGTATAGGCATTGGCGCTGGTGCCAGCGTAGGCGCTGGCGTTGACATTGGCGTCGGTACTGGCGCCACCGCTGGTGTGGGCGCTAGCGATGGTGCCAGCGCAATCGCAGGCGTTGGTGCTGGCGTCGGTGCTGGCGCCGACGCAGGCGTAGGCGCCAGCGGTGGCGTCGGTGCTGGCGTCGGTGTTGGTGGAGGCGCAGGCGTTGGTGCTGGCGTTGGCGCCGGGGTTGGTGCTGGCGTCCGTGCTGAGGCGTTGGCGTTGGTGCCAGCGTAGGCGCAGTCAACGATGTCGGCGCTGGTGCCGGCGTCGGCGATGTCGTGGGTGCTGGCCGCGTAGTCGTGCACGGGGATGCTGCTAGACTCAGGCGCTGGCGGCGGTGTCGGCGTGCTCGCCAGAAGCGGTGCTGTCGGCGACGCTGGCGTAGGCGATGGAGATGGTTCCATGGCTACCGCGGATAGGTGGGCGCATCTGTCGGTTCACCGCCATTCGATTTTCCATCAATCGAATAGGGTAGCACCCAGACCTCCGACGTCGCGCAACGTGGATATATCTGATACAAAATACGTGGCCTCCTGACCTGTCGACCCCTCACAGGGGGATTTTCGTTCGCTCCAGATTGTTTCTTCATGGTTCCAGAGCCAGAGTGTCGGCCTGAGGCCGAACATTGTGAAAAACGCCCGTACTGATCGTTAAGACGCTTGGAGTATGGGTATGGTGCGGGTATAGGTGTCCCGCTTCAGAGACCCTAAACCCAAACCGGCAGAATTACAACTCTGTGGGGGCATAAATTACTTTACCAGCGTTCCGCCAGCGGAGCCACCCTCTTTTGCATCCGCTTTCTGGTTGGCGATCCCTCGATGGCGAGGCCCGCCCGGAGCGTCCCACCATGAGAGGTTGCCTTTGCAGCCTCGTGTGTGCGCTGACGTTTGCCCACCAGCGGCTGCCCCTCCCGGTGAGGCCGCGGCGGCTGCCGAGGCGGCGGCCGAGGCCGAGAGGGCCGAGATGCTGGCGTTCGTGAAGGGGTACAACGCCGAGCTGGCCAGCCAGTTCGAGGAGCTCTGCCGCGAGCAGGAGGAGATGCACAGCCAGATCAAGGATCGCAGAGGGGGGCTCTGGACGTTCTCTCCACCCTTGCTGGGCCTCCGCTGTTGCGCCCTCGTGGACACGGCTGGGCGCAGCTCGAAAACATTTAGAAGACGGAGTCCGGGAAGAGTCCGGGGAAAATTTGGAGCGTGTCGTGATTGGGGGGCGGGGCGATGGGGTCGGCCGGACTGAGAAGATAATGGGGCTCCTCGAAGGAGTTCGGAGATTCCCGATCGGGCATCGAATGAATGACGACGGCGATGACGACGACGGCGGCGGCGATGACGATGGCGGCGGCGGCGTTGACGACAACGACGACGACGGCGGCGGCGTTGACGACGACGACGACGACGACGACGGCGATGACGACGACGGCTGCAGCGTTGACGACGACGACGACGACGGCGACGACGACGACGACGACGACGGCGACGGCGACCGCGATGACGACGAAGGCGACGGCGATGACGACAACGGCGACGGCGTTCACGACGACGACGACGACGACGACGACGACGACGACGACGGCGATGACGGAGAAGGCGACGGCGTTGACGACGACGACGACGACGACGACGACGACGACGACGACGACGACGACGGCGATGACGACGACGGCGGCGGCGTTGACGACGACGACGACGACGACGACGGCGATGACGACGACGACGACTGCGATTACGACGCTATGGCGCTATGGCGAACGCGCGAGTCCCGAGTGCAAGCTCGGCCGCACCAGCCACATCACTCGCGAGAGAAAGACACCCCCGCTCTGGGCGGGAGACCTCTCGCCAATCGGCCCAGCACCAACAGACCCGTGCGGGTCGGGGGCTGGCACCGCACTCAGAGGCCACGGGCGCTTTGGGCCGCAAAGCGCCCACAAGTAGAACAATACAAAATCCCACCCAACACGGACAATGAATGGGTCTCGTGGCAGTGGATGGCCAAGGGGTGCGCAGCAGCACCCCCCAGGACAGGAGCAGGTGCAGAAACCTCGCCCTCGCCGTCACTCCTTGGCGCGGCAAGGTGGGCGAAGCGGCTGCCCTGACATTCCTCGGGCCAAAAGCGGGACAGGGCACCTCGAGTGCTGAACTTGCGATGGCAGATACTACACTTGATCAGCGTGCGGAGGACGATGGGGCTATGGCCTTGCGCTCTCACACGCGTCTCACGCTCCTGCGCAAACGACCTCCCACCCTTCCTCCGCACTTGTTGGGGCCCTTCATCACGACCAACCCTAGCATACAACCCGTCACGCGCACAGGTAGTGAACACATCACGTTGGATGGTGACCAATCGCCGAAGAATAGAAACGTGCAACTCATCCTGCAACAGTGTACGGGCCACAGACTGCTCGGGAACTTCTGTTCGCCTGGCGGCTTCAGCCGCGCAAGCATCAGCAGCCCCGTTCAACAAACGCTCCACACGAGTTAAATAGAGGGCGCTGACTTGGGTTTCCGTGGGGTGGCTTTTGGTCCACCGAAGGTCAACCTCACCAGAACGTCGATCCAAGGTTTTCCAGAGAACCACCCACAGGTCGATCATGTCGCAATTGGCCAGGGCCGCACGCGGCCTACGAAAACCTCGGACCACAGGAAGGTAATCGCTGAAAATAAAAGACGGCCAGGTGTAAAGCGAAGCACGAAAATCAACGCCATGAGCTCCGCACGCGGGGACCACTGGTCGGGGCCTGGAAGCGTACCTGCAAAGCCACCATCGACATCATCGAGCGTGGTGGACAAACGTACACATGCCCAACCACACCGTCTTAGCCGGGCATCCTCAGCAAATCTCCCCCCCGATCCGTCGATCCCCCAGACTCCTCCTTCCTTCACAACACGATCCCCGAAAAAGCCCCAAAACCAGGTCAGATCCTGCGGCTCAGGCAGATGCCCCATGGTGCGATCTAGCGGCATGAGCCCGCGGCACCACAAGGCAGGACAATCGTCTTGAGCTGCACGCTCACCTAAGTGTTCAGAATCCGCAATTGTGGTGTCGGGGTTATATTCGTTCATGCAACATTTCCAAAACCTGTGGTACGGGGTCTCCTTATCCTCACCACAGCGGGCGCAAACTCCTGCTGCCGACGCTTCATATCCTGCATTATAAAGACGGTCCTCCGTCCAATAACCCCCAGGGATGGTGTTCAATAAAATGGACTGCCCCTCATAATCCAACTCCCGTCCCATCCTGCTATACTCCTTCCGAATACAAGTAAAATCAACACCTCCTTCCACTCCAGCCCCCATCTAGTGAAAGGCAGCCTTGCGCCACATCAAGGCGTCACATGTGCGCTGGATGGAGCGGCGAAGATGCAAACGAAAGTCAGGCTGGGACAACTGGAGCACTTCACCACGATCATCGCGCCAGCGTGCAGGTGAAAGAGGCAGCCATCCTAAGTCGAGCAAAACCGCAACAGTGGCCGCCACTGGACCACGTACCCGACGCCAAATCGACTGTGCAGAGATGTTCGAGTACTCTTGGGCCCTGCTTCTCCAACGTCTAGCCACTTTCATGTTTAAACCATGCTCCAACGAGTCCCACGCAGAGGCAAAGCCTCCCAAATGCTCGCGACGGAGGCGGTAAATGGGGTCCCCATCGAGGCCCTCCAAGGGTCCCAAGGATAGTCGTAGAGCAGGCCCCAGCGGGCCAAGCTCCAGAGCACACCGCGGCCTGTCCACGAACACACTGAACCTGCGTAGGGGAGAGGCTCACAACTTGTTGCCCCCAAGCTCCAACCGCTAACACTCCAGGTTTATGCAATTTTGCAGCCTGCTTCACCAACTTAGTAAGGTACCGAACCTTACCCGCATTCATGGCCGCAATACGTCTACGCTTTTTAAAGATACTCACAGAACGTCGCTTACCTGCTGTGGTCAAGGTGCCTAGATCACGCGCGGCCCTCGATAACTTCAACTTGAAACCAGCAGTCCTGAGGTCATTCAGGATCAAAAGGGTAAGCGGCTGGCAATTCCCGACGATGGCAGGCTTTTCAGAGAGAATCAGTTCCACTGACTCGAGAGAGCGGCCAAGGTGCACAGCAGCAGAGGCAAGTTGTCGGCGGACCTCCTCTGCACTACCCTGGGCCACCTGGGACAGGTCATCGACGTACGACCGAGTAGAGACACACGGGTGGTAACGATGATGCACATCATATAAAATCTGATAGAGGTAAACCTTGACCCAAGACATCGACTGCATACACCCAGGGAGCACCCCAATGCCCGAGGATATCAGATCGGAGCAAAACCCGGACGACTCGAGCATACGAGGGCGTGGATCAGGAGTCCGAGGTAGAGCAAATGAGGCGGGAAATTCAAATCGCAAGCCAACGACACCAGACGCGCAGGGACCACAGTGTCGACACACTTAGTCAGGTCCCAGTGCACAGCCATGCTCTTCTGGCCTTCGAACATCGCAACCTCATGGCAGATCTCCCTCCTAAGAGTCGCCTGCAAGGCGGAGCTACCTTTGACAGCGTCATCCCAAAACTCACGGTGTCCGCGGGACCAGTCGCCCAGGAAAACCTTTCGGATTTTGCAGTAAACCCGATACAAAGCAGGGCACTTACACACGGGGCGGCGATGACGACGACGGCGGCGGCGTTGACGACGCCGACGACGACGACGACTACGACGAGGGCAATGACGACGACGGCAGCGGCGTTGACGACGACGACGACGACGATGACGACGATGGCGGCGGCGTTGGCGACGACGACGACGACGACGACGACGACGACGACGACGACGACGACGACGACGGCGATGACGACGACGGCGGCGGCGTTGACGACGACGGTGACGACGACGACG